ACCAGAGTCTTGCCTCTAGACTCGTGACTGATACATGATAACTATTCTTATAAATAATAATTATCTCATAAAGAGTACATAGGTATTCTTTTTTTTTTCATTTTTAAAAAGCGATTAAAATTTTTTTCTAAATTTTATTTATTTTCTTGTTGTTGAGAATATACACAGCAAAACATACACCAATTCAACAGTTTCTATGTGTACAACTCAGTGACATTGATTACATTTTTCGAGTTGTGCAACCGTTCTCACCCTCCTTTTCTGAGCTGTTCCTCCCCCATTAACATAGACTCACTGGCCCCTAAGCTTCCTATCTAATCTTTCAAGTTGCTGCTGTCAGTTTGATCCCATATAGATAGTTGTCAAAAGAACACAACGCTCAAGGCAGGCATTTTAACTAGTTAAGTTAAACTATTGTTTGGTTTTAAGAAGACTTCAGGGGATATTTGGTTTAAGATTTAAAGATTATCTCAGAGTAATAGTTTCAGGGGTTCATCCACCCTCCCTGACTTCAGAAAGTCGAGAGTCCATGAGAGTTTGAAATTCTGCTCTGCATTTCCCCTCTTTTGATCAGGATTCTTCTACAGACTGTTTGATCGAAATGTTCGGTAATGGTAGCCGGGCACCATCCAGTTCTTCTGGTCTCATGGCAAAGGAGGCAGTTGTTCACGGAGGCAATTAGCCACACATTCCACATCCTCCTCCTATTCCTGACTCTCCTTCCTCTGTTGCTCCAGGTGAATAGAGACCAATTGCTGTGCCTTGGATGGCTGCTTGCAAGCTTTTAAGACCCCAGGCACTGTGCCATGAACTAGGAGGTAGAGCAGAAGCACTAAACATGTTATTAGGCCAATTAACTGGGATGTCCCATGAAACCCTGACCCTAAACCTCCAAACCAAGGAAGCAAATCCCATGAGGTGTTCGGTTGTACAGAAGCAGCCTGAGCAGCTACTCTTTTTTTTTTTTCTTTTCTTTTTTTGTCATTGTGGTAAATATATTTATCACACACCTTTTGCTACATAGGTATTATGAAGGCTACATAGGTATTCTTACAAAGGATACTTGTGTGTTCTTGTAAAGGATACGTGTATTCTTTAAAATATGCTAAATAACATCTTGGTTTATAATGGTGGTTCTATACCAGTAGTACTCAACAGGGGACATTTAGCAATGTCTGGGGACATTTGTGGTTTTCACAACTGGCGTTGAGTGGGTGGATATGCCAGGGATGCTGCTCAACACCCTACAGTGTACATGGCGCTCCCTCCGTCCCCAGAGAAGGATCTGGCCCCATGTCAGCAGTGCCAAGGTTGGGAAATCCTGGTCTACAGCTTGCTTGTCCCCTAGATGTCCCTTGGAGACATTTCTAGATGGGACCCCTTATTCTTTTATCCAGCTATGTAGTATCCTGGGCTGGGCCCACACCTTGTTTATCAAACTGGTCCTCCACAGAGGGACATGGTGGCTGTCTCACATTTTGGGCATTTGTGTTACAGGTGACATTTAACACTCTTGTGCCTTGTCTGGGACAGTTACAGAGAAGCTTAAGAGTGAGTTCTCCCTATGGGGTGGTTCTACTCGATCCTACAGTGTCCCTATGAACTGGAACCGACTCCACGCCAATGGGTTTGGTTTGGATTTTGGTATATTCAGTATTTAAAAGATATAACCCCTTGCCATCGCGTTTCCAAGGAACAGCTGGTAGATTTGAACTGCTGACCGTTTTGGTTAGCAGCTGAGCTCTTAACCACTGCACCACCAGGGCTCCTGAAAAGATGTTAGTGGTCTTCAAATTGATCCACAGATTCAGTGCAATTCCAATAAAAACTCCAACGGGGAAAAAAAGTGAGTTCTAAGGAGCGTGCATTTTAATTTCTAATAAATGAGCCCAATTGTACTCCAAAATGCCAGGATCGAAATCACTCCTACCTTCAGGGCCCTGACACACAGAGGTCCAAACCCGCGCGTTTTTTTTTTTTTTTTTTTTTTTTTAAGCAACCACTGCGGGCTGCATGTGGTTCTAACCGTGATCCAAGCGTTTGCTTGGTTTATCCTCACAACAATCACAAGGGGGCAGGAACTACCATCACTCTCCCATTACACAGAGGAGAAAGTTGAGGCACAGGGCGATTAAACCACTGGCTTGAGGAGATGTAGACTCAGGGAGTGACTGTGGACTACAGCTGACCTGCTGCTTGGTGCATTTCCTGGGCTGGGGTGGCTCCTCCCACCTGAAACGGGATACACGTTGCTGTTGGCCGTCTTCTGGAAGGTTCTAATGGCTCCCTCTCACCACTAGCACCCAACGATACTAGGAACACCTCCTTCACCCAGTTATCTCATGGGCTTCGACCCTAGTCTTCTGAGATGTGTCCTGTTGTTGTTGGCATTTTACAGATGAGGAAACTGAGGTCCCAAGTGGAACCCTGGTGGAAATGAACCTAATCTGCCATGTGGAGGTGGCTGCCAGCAGAGGAGAGGATAGAATCCCAGGGTCATTGCAGGCAGGGAGAATGGTCTGATGTCCGCTTTAACTTTTAAGTGTCTCTGGATTTGGCATTCTACCCTGTAGGTATTCATGGTTTTTAAAAAAAAAATCAAACATTGCTTTGTGTTGTGTTGGCGTTGGGATTCCCAGACACCACCACCCCCATCTTTGGGTATAAAATCCTCCCCCCAAAAGTTATCATCCACTTGAGTGGACTCCGACTCCTGGCGACCCCGTATGTGTCAGACTAGAACTGTGCTCCGTAGGGCTTTCAAAGGCTGACTTTTCAGAAGTAGATTGCCAGGCCTTTCTTCTGAGGCACCTCTGGGTAGACTCAAACTGTCAACCTTTCATTTAGCAGCTTAACCATTTGCACCACCCAGGGGCATAGCTACACACACTGGGGTTAAAAACCTCATTTACGGAGTGCTTGCAGGGTGCTAAGCACTGTTCAAATAACCATCACCCCCCTGCAGTGGGGTGCTAATGGGCCCCCTGCATGACTCCTGCTGTCTCCAAATCCAGCCTTTGGATCCTGGGCAAGCGACTCCCGCTGTCTGAACCTCAGTATCCTTCCCTGTTACACTCGAGGATAACAGGGCTGCTGGCGTCTTCCATGCCTCTGGGCTTGGGGCACCTCAGGGCTTGCCCCAGTTTGGAGAGAGGGTACCATCTGGCCTCAGGATACTGGCAGAGGCGGGCCCAAATGGTCAAGCTTTCTAAGAATGCCTCAGTGGCCATTTGACAGATGGTCACAGCTCTGCTAATTGTCATTATCATCTGACTGGCTACACTGTTGGCCCATTTCACAGGGAAGAACACCAAGGCTCTGGAGGGGGAGGTCGCCTGTTCTTGTAAGACGGGCAGAACAGTGGCAGCAGCCTGCCCGAGGTTGGGAGGGTTCAGGGAGAGAATGAGGGAGGGAGGAGGAGGCCAGGGTCATCTGGCATCCTGGGGGCTCAGCCGCCAGGGAGGTCAAGCCCTTGGCATGTTATTCCAGAAGAAGCTTTAATAAATCAGGTTCTGGTGCTAAATGGCCTGGGGCCAAGCCACTCACAGGGCTTCAGATTCCGGATCTGTGAAATGGGCGCATTGCTGGGGCCGTGGTGGCGCAGTGGTTAAAAGCTCAGCTGCTAACCAAAAGGCTGGCAGTTCGAATCCTCCAGCGGCTCCTTGGAAACACTATGGAGCAGTTCTACTCTGTCCTATAGGATTGCTAAGAGTCGGAATCAGCTCCACAGGGCAATGGGTGCAGGGGAGGAGGGAAGAGGCTGCAACGGTTTTTCTGGCATGTCCCAGCCTCTGCCAAGACGCCAACTATCCTTCTGGGGAGCTAGGTGGATATTATGGGGTAGGCCAAAACACCTCCCAGTTCCTCTTCGGCGCTAGAGAGGAGAGAGCAGATTCCTGGTGGCACAACGGTTAAGTGCTCGGCTGCTAACGGAAAGCTTGGTGGTTCGAACCCACCCAGCCACTCCATGAGAGAAAGGCCTGGCAGTCGGCTTCAGTAAAGATCACAGCCTCTCTGTCACATGGGGTCGCTTTGAGTCGGAATCAACCGATGGCACCTAACAACCACAATTCCCCGTTCATGGGGACCCTTCTGGCCAAAGGAGGGGTCCTCATACCCAAACCCCTCTAGTGCGGGCATTGCAGCCCGTCTGACTCGGGGGCGGATAAGAGAACACAGGCGTTGGGGACCCGCGTTGCGCCGCTCACCCCCGGCTCGTACATCTTTAAGGGAAAGCTGCGCTCTCGGCGCCCGGCCTCTGCGCACGTCACTTCTTCATTCTTTCCCTCCTCCCCCCCCCCCCTGGCCCCCCGGTTTTTCTGGTTAGGTCCTTCAGTACAATGTTGAGTAGAAATGGGGCAAACACAGATTCTTGTCTTTTTCCCCCCCCCCCTGGCTCGTGTCTCCAACTTCCCGGCCAGCTCGGGGCGCGGGGTGGGGGGCGCCTTAAAACCCCCCTCCAGACCCCAAATATCCATCCGCCACCCAGCTCCCCCTCTCCGCTTGCCAGGGGTGGGCGACCCTAGGGGACCCGCTGCGCTCGGGGTATCCGCGGCGCGTCGGTCCCGTCCCGTCCCCGGACCCGGGCGGCTCGTCCTTCGTAATGATAGCAATGATGGGGGTTCGGGAGGCATGGGGGGAGGTGGTGCGGGGGGGCCGGGCAGCGGTTCTCCTTGCTGGTTCCTCGCGCTCTTTTTTCCCTCGTTTCTTTGAAAGTTGGATGCGGAGAAGTGGGAGGTACTGGAGGTTGGGGTGGGAGGGGAGAGAAACTGGGGGGAAGGAGGGGAGAGACTGCCAGAGGGAGGAGAGACAGAGACAGAGAGAGAGACAGAGACGGGGGAGAGAGGGAGAGAGAAAGAGAGAGAGGGAGGAGAGGCGGGCGCCGAGAAGGGAGAGAGAGGGAGGGAGGGAGTAGGGAGGGAGGAGAGAGACCGAGGGAGGAGGCGGGCGGCGAAGAGAGCGCGCCGGCCGCGGCCGCGGGGTGGGGGGGGGGTTGGAAAAATGACTCAGTAAGTTCGGCGCGCCGCTCCGGCCGGCCCTGCGCCTCCCGCCGCGCCCGGGATGTATTCGTCCCCGCTCTGCCTGACCCAGGTACGCCCCCGGCCCGGCCCCTGCACCCCGGCCCCGCGCCCCCCGCATCCCGGACTTGGGCAGCCGGAGGAGGCGGGACGAAGAAGGCGCGCGTCCCTCCCGCCGCCCTGGCCCGGCTGCCCCCTCCACGGACCGGGCCCGGTCCCCACCTGGGGCCCCCCGCCCTGCGTCGCGCAAGACCTTTTCCCGTACCCTGTTCGCGGGGTCTCGGGCTGCAGGCGCTCTCCCCCGTCTCGGGACGCGCCCCTTCCCATTCGGGAAGGTCTAGGGGCGCCCCCCCCCCGCCAGCCAGGGCACAGCCTGGGTCAGGGCTGCCCCTAAGGGGAGCCCAGGGAGTCTTGGTTGTCCTCTGGGGCTTCTTGAGAAGAGGACCCTCTGCCGTCCCCGGGTCCCCACCCCAAGCTCTTGCCCGCTGCCCCAGTCTCGGCTGCCTTTCCCCCCCCATTATTGGCCCACGTGTACGTGAGGGGGAGGGGGCGCGCCAAGTTGGAGGCGCCCGGGTGGGGGGAGGGGGATCTCTGGCGTCCCGGTTCGGTGTCCCCCCCCGCCCCCCCGCCGCACACTGTCCCGGCATTTTCGCCGCATCGATTCTGGAGTATTGAGCCGCCGCCACCGGGAGGAGCCGGAGGCCGGGCGCGCTGGGGTCTGGCTGGGCCACTGCGGCGCTGCGGACGCCCTCCCCAGCCGGCACCTGCCCCTGCCCGCTCCCGTAGCCTCTCACCCCTGGCCGCACTCCCAGACTGCCCCAGGCCGAACCCTTGTGCAAGGACCAAGGAGGGGTGTGGGTAGGGGGCGGTCACCCCTCCCCCAGGCTGCACCCCGGGGATTCCCGCCCGGCTCCCTCTGGGATCCTCAGGCTGTACTTTCCACCCCCATTTTGCCAGTGGGACTCGGGCCTCGGTTTCCCCAAGCGATAAGGCTGGAAGGCAGGTTTTGGGGGTGGGCAGCGGGGCCTCTAAACTGTAAAATGAGGACTGAAGGAGCACTGTGTTAGGAGCATCTTGGGGCCCAGCTCAGCCCCTGCCTGGGGTCCTCCATTCATGCTCCTGGGGTCTCCACATTCCAGTAGGATCTTCGCTAGTCCCCTGCAGCTGCCACTGGGGAGCTCTTGGCTCCCCCAATGGAAGGTGGGGGCTGGTGCTGAGGAGGCTCTGGCCTGTCCTGCCCGTGATCCCCTGGGTGACCTTGGGCCAGTCCCTGCCCCTCTGCGGGCCTCAGTTTCCCCTTGTGGGCAGCTTTGAAGGGTTCCCCTGAGACAGACACTGCCAGCCCACCTTCACCACCCAGCCTCCTAAAGGTCCCCAAGAGCAGCCAGGGTTCAGGCAGGGGTTGCTGTGTGACCTTGGACAGCCTGGCCATCTCTGGGCTTCCGTGGAGGACAGGGTAGCCCAGGTGGCTCCGAGGGGCCCCCACCCCCTCTGCCATTCCCCCTGCGCTTGCTAGGGAGAGCTGTGCAGGGGGCCTGCCGAGCCAGCGGGAGCGAGGGCAGGCTATTCCAGGCGAGAGGTTGGAAGGCCGCCTTTTGTCACTGCGCCCTGGAATTCCCCATCAGGACTCCTCAGGAGATAGGCCTCCATCCACACTGCTGGGAGGAGGTGGTGCTGAGAACCTAGCGCCGCCTGCCCGCCCTAGGGAACTGGCCTCTGCGTTGGCTTGGCGTTGGTTTCTCCAGGCAGAAAGCTGATAATCAGGGGGCTAAGAAAGACCCTGGGGTCGCGGTGTGCAAGAGAGACGAGGAGCCAGGAAGATGGAGACAGGGACAGAGAGAACCGGAGAGCTCCAGGCTGGGATTGGGCTTCCCGTACCCTGCTTACTGCCCTGCTAGCGCAGGCCCCGGAGCGGAGCCCTGCAGCCCCCTCAGGTTGCCCCCTCAGCCCCTCACAGGCCCAGCCTGGTCTGGGGTCTCCTGCTGGGGACCCAGATGGCGCCTGACTGACAGAGGTGGGACCCGCCCACTCCTGGACTGCCTGGCTCAGTCTCCCTAATCACCCACCATTCTCCTCACTTGATCTCTTCTCTTCCCATCTCGGTCCCTTCCCTGTCTCCCTCAGACCCTGTCTCTGTGTCTCTCTCCCTGTCTCCCTCAGGCCCTGTGTCTCTGTGTCTCTCTCCCTGTCTCCCTCAGACCCTGTGTCTCTGTGTCTCTTTCTCTCTCTTTCTCTCTGTGTCTCTGTCTCTTGCTATCTCTCTCCCCTTCTCTGTCTCTTCATCTGCAACTCCCCGTCTCTGTATCTGACTATCTCTCTCCCTCTCTCATCTCTATCTCTTTCTAACTCTCCTGTCTCTCTGTCTCTCCATCTGTGTCCCTCCCTGTTTCTCTGTCTCTTTCCACTCTTTGTCTCTCTGTCTCCCTGTCTCTCTGACTGTGTCTCTGTCCCTCTCTCCCTGTCTCTCACGTCTCTTTCCCTCCTCTTTGTCTCTCTGTCTCTCCTTATCTCCCCATCTCTGTCTCTTTCTAGCTCTCTAGCTCTCCTGTCTCTCTCTGCTGTCTCTGTCTCTCCCTGTCTCTCCATCTCTGCCCCTCCTTGTCTCTCTGTCTCTCCGTCTCTGCCCCTCCTTGTTTCTCTGTCTCTCCCTGTCTCTCCGTCTCTGCCCCTCCTTGTCTCTCTGTCTCTCCCTGTCTCTCCGTCTCTGCCCCTCCTTGTCTCTCTGTCTCTCCCTGCCCCTCCATCTCTGTCCCTCCCTGTCTTTCCCCATCTCTCCCCTCTCTCTGTCTCTCCCTGTCTCTCCGTTTCCGCCCCGCCTTGTCTCTCTGTCTCTCCCTGTCTCTCCGTCTCTGCCCCTCTTTGTCTCTCTGTCTCTCCCTGCCCCTCCATCTCTGTCCCTCCCTGTCTTTCCCCATCTCTCCCCTCTCTCTGTCTCTCCCTGTCTCACCATCTCCCCCCGCCACCTTCCCTGGCTAATTTTACAACCTGAGCCCAACCGAAAATAGCTCCCTTTTAGCTGATCCGACCCGGATCCATAGTGGGAGCCCGGCCGGTGGGGGGCGGGGGCTGGGTGCTGGGTGCCAGCCCGCCCTGTGCCACCCGGGCCTGCCCGCCGCGCCCAGAGGATCCTGGGAGCCCCGTGCCCAGCGCGGCGGTGACTCAAATGCTATTTCACTTTTACTCTTAAGAGGAACTGTGTGGAGCGGCCGTTACGTCCATAGATCCTGCCTGCCGGCGGGAACGGGCCTCCTCCCTCTCTCCCTCCCTCCCTCCCTCCCTCCCTCCTGCCGCCACGTTAGTTATTCCGGCTTTGGGGCCAAATCCCTCTTGGCCGCAGTGCCCAGGATTCCCTGGCCCGCGGGCTGGGCCTGGGCCCAGGCCATGCAGCGCCACCCCTCCCTCATTCATTCATCTTCTCCTTCATTCCTTCACCCTATTCCCTCTCCAGGTGGCCTGCTTTCTACTGCCCCGTTTCCAGGGGGAAGCTGAGGCTGAGAGAGGGGCCCCAACTTTGGTTGGATTGAACAGCTCTTATTAAGCACCTTCTGTGGGCATGGGGGGCAGCACAAGGCAGTGGAGTCTGAGCCTGGCATGGGCTCCAGAGGGGGCTGGGGGATTGGCTGGCATTAGGGGGTCCCCAGTACTTCAGGGCTGGGAGAAGGGCCAAGACCAGAGAGGGCTATAGCCTGCCAAAAGCAGCACAGTGCAGCTGACGAGGCTGGGGTTTGCAGCCACTTCCCATTGGCTGTTCAGCCAGGTCTGGGTGGGGGGTGCTCCCTGTGCCCCTGTCATGTGTCCCCCACCCATGGTGTGATGGCCTCCAACTGGCTCCTCTGGAAGGCTCCATCCACTCCTGTGGCTCTCTCCTCTCTCTGTCTCTCTGTGTCTCTTGGTATCTCAGTATTTCTCTCTGTCTCTCCCCCTCCCCTCTCTGCGGCGGAGGTGCCTCAGCGTGATGGTCTGGGCGCCCCGTAAATCACAAAGCCGGGATTCTGGCCGAGTCAGCGTTCTCTCTCTCTCTCTCTCTCTCTCTCTTTCTCTCTCTCTCTCTGCCTGAGCCACCCACCCTCCCTGTCTCATACCAAATGGATAGGAAATACCGCTGTGTCCTGGCTGGGCCCCCTGCTGCACACAGCCCAGCTCCCCCCACATGCACGTGTTCACGCCAACGCACACGCATGTGCTGGCGTCTCACCTGGGCATGTGTGCGCCCCACCGTACACAGTGCAGATCCCCACGAGCCGGAACCACGCACAGCCACAGTGCTGTGCAGCACACGTTTGCACACGTGTGTACATGCATGCGCACACATGCCAGTCGGCACACAGACGTGCACACTCACCCCCACACCTGTGAGTCCACAGCCCTCGCCTGCCTCGGGCGTGCCCTAATGGGGGTCCCCGAGGCGGAGACCTAGGGCGTCCTGCAGACGCTGGTGAAAATCTTGCTTAGGAAGTTCAGAACCAAGGTCTCCTCTTTCCCAGCTGGGTGACTTTGGGCAGGTGACCCAGCCCCTCCGCGCGTCAGTTTCTTCACTGTGGAACGAAGGGGACAGTCATCCTCACCTCCTTGGGGATTTGGGGAGGCGGGACACCTCTGAGGTCCTCGGTATGGGGCCGTGCACACAGGAGGTGTTCAAAAATGCTTGTCAAATGGATGTTTGTTGAATGCATGACTGCTGGTTAGGAGAAGGGACTTCCGTCTCTCTGAGCCTCACTCCCTCTCTCCCCCCACAGAAAATGGGGAACATAATCCTGCTTTCCCCAGACGGTCTACCGTTAGCACAGTGCCTGGTATACAGTAGGTGCCAACTAAGTGCTGTTGTGGTTGTGATTGTTGCTAAACCATTGGGTTAAACAGCCAGTGCCTGGCATACAGTAGGCACTAGATAAATGTTACTGCAATTGTGGATGTTGTTCCAGCAACAGTTGGGTTAAACACTCGGTGCCTGGTATACAGTAGTCAGCAAATAAGTGCCGTTGTGATTATGATTGTTGCTCCACCAGTAGTTGGGTTAAACACCCAGTACCTGGTATACTGTAGGTGCCAAATAAGTGCCATTATAGTTGTGAT